CCTTGTGTACATCTCTTTGCACATGTGGATGTTTTCTGTAGAATAAAAATTTTAAACTCTATGTGCCGAGTCATAGTGAATAAACACTTAAAATCTGAAATGATATTGTTAAAGTAACCTACCAATTTATATTACCTTGAGCAGGATATGAGAGATACACCCTCATCACCACTGGATATTAACCAGTGTTGTTTTCTTTTCTTTCTTTTTTTTTTTGAGTTGGCATCTCATTCTGTTGCCCAGACTGGAGTGCAGTGGCACACTTGGGGCCACTGCAGTGTCATCCCGCTGGATTCTGGCGATCCTTCCACCTCAACCTTCCAAGTAGCCAGAACTACAGGCACGCGCTACTGTGCCCGGCTCATTTTTTTTTTTTTATTGTAGAGACGAAGTCTGGCCAAATTGCCCAGGCTGGTCTCAAACCCGTGGGCTCAGGCAGTCCACTCGCCTTGGCCTCCCAAAGTGCTGGGAATACAGGCTGAGCCACCGAGCCTGACCTGTTTTCTTTTTAAAATCTTTGCTAACATGATATCTCATTGTTTTAATTTTTATTTTTGTCATGAATGATATTTGTATATTTATTGACCTTTTAAAAAATGTTTTTTATAAATTTACCTGTCTGAGTTCTTTGCCTTATTTCCTTGGGAATTTTTGTATTTTTAATATTGGTTACTGAAGCTCTTTGTATGTTATGTATCTTAGCCCTTTGTCTATTATATTTAATACAAATTTTTTCTACATATATTATTTGTCTTTTAACTTTTACTTATTGAATTGCTTCCCATGAAGAAGCTTCAAATATGTATGTAATCATGTTTTGGTTATAAATTAATGTTGTTTATAATAATTGCAATAGCTTGCTAAGGTTTCCCAAATCCATTCTTGATGTGCTCCATTTTCCCCCCACATTGTGAACATGCACACCTGAGAATGTGTTTCTCTTTGATTAAAGTGTTCAAGGGCTTTCCCATTGCTCTTTTTATTTTATTTTATTTTTATTTTTGAATTGGGGTCTCACTCTGTCGCCCAGGCTGGAGTATAGTGACACAATCATGGCTCACCACAGCCTTGACCTCCTGGGCTCAGACAATCTTCCTGTCTCAGCCTCTTGAGTAGCTAGAACTACCATGCTTCCCACCATGCTGGACTGTTTTTTTGGGGTTTTTTTTTTTTGTAGAGAGAAGGTCTCTCTATTGCCCTATGCTGGTCTCCTGGGCTCAAGCAATCCTTCCACCTCAGCCTTCCAAGGTGCTGGGATTATAGGCGTGAGCTACCAAGCCCAGCTGGCCTCTATGCATCCTTAACTCTCAGGTCCTAAAGCCACATTAACTTTTTTTAGTTCCTTGGTGGATCTATACTGCTTTTTCTAATAGGACCTGTGTGCATGCTATTTCTTCTGTTTTTATTGCATCTTGGCACCTCTGTGCATAAATAACTCTTACCCATTGGAAGTATCTCTGAACCTATTCTGGTTTGTGAGGCTTCCTGATTAAAAAAGAAAGAAAGAAAACTCTTACTCATTCTTCAGATTTGATCTCCTGTCATTTCCTAAATAAAACCTTCCCTTACCCTGCCTGTCTAGGCTATGGCCTAAATTGCGTGATCTTATTTCACCATGTACCACTTTTTGAAGCATATAACTTTAAAATTACTTGTGTTTTTTTTTGTTGTTTTTTTTTAAATTTTCCTTTTATTTTTTTTTTTTAGAGACAGGGTCCAACTATATTGCCCGGGCTGCAGTGTAGTGGCTATTCACAGGCACAATCACAGTGTACTGCAGCCTTTAACTCTGGCTTCAAGCAATACTCCTGCCTTAGCCTCCAGACTACACCTGGCCTGTGTGATCATTTGATTTTAGGTTATGACTTGAAATCCGTAAAGTATATGGATGAAAGCAAGGACCAAGTCTGTTTTGTTTACTGCCACATCCCTAGTGGGCATCCTGAAGCCCAGCATATAATAGGGGCTTAAATGTTTGTGTAATGAATGAGCAAATGCTAGCTTTTTGGTTTTATCTTTCTTAGAAAGCCTTTTGAAGGATTTTAAGTCATTTAGCATGATAAGGTTTACTTTTTAGCACGTTCCCTCATTTAGTCTTTATGTGGAAGATGAATTAGAAAGACAAATCTGAAGATTTAGGAATACAGATGGGTTATTATGATGGTCATTTAGTCCTCAGATAACAAAGGCAGTGATACTAGAGATAGAGAGGATGTGATAAAATTTCAGAAGAATTATTTAAGAGGGAGAATCAGCAAAACTTAGTGACTGACTAGATGTGGCCATGGTGAGGGAGAAGAAAAAGTCAAGACTCAGAATTCAAATAAGGCTGGGCTCAGTGGCTCAGCCTGTAATCCCAGCACTTTGGGAGGCCTGAGCTCTCTGGTTCATGACCAGCCCGGGCAACTTGGCGAGACCTCGTCTCTACAATAAAATAAAATAAAAAATTAGCCAGGCGTGATAGCACATGCCTGTAGTTCTGACTACTTGGAGGGCTGAGGCGGAAGGATCACCAGAGCCCAGTACGTTGACGCTGGGGTGGCCGTGAGTGTGCCACTGCACTCCAGCCTGGGCAACAGAGTGAGACTCCAACTCAAAAAAAAAAGAATTTAAATAAAATATGTAAATTAGTATGAGACAGTGTCACACATAGTTAATGACAGAACCATTAGAATCATACAGATTAATCATGAAACTTACTATGTATAATGCTAGTCTGTTTTACCTAATATCTTGGTTCATTTGGGCTGCAATAGCAAAATACCATAGTCTGGGTGGCTTATTAATAACAGAGATTAACTTCTCACAGTTCTGGAGACTGAGGAGTCCAAAATCAAAGCACCAGCAGAAGTGTCTGGCATGGGCCTACTTCCTTATAAGTAGCTATTTTCACTCTAACCTCACAGAGCAGAAGATTAAGGGGTCTCTCTCAGACCTCTTTTATAAGGCCACTAATCCCATTAATTGAGGGTGGGGCCCTCTTGACCTAATCACTCCCCAAAGGCCTTACCTCCTAATACCATCACTTTGGGGATTAGGACTTCAACACATGAGTTTTGGAACATTCATACACTTAACAGCTATTTATCTAACCCTGTTGTAAATGAGTGTCTTCATAGAATTTTTGAGGTAAAATGAGACAGTACATGTAAAGTGCCTAGTTCATACAGTTTTCTGGGAACTTGAGGAAGTCATTTAACCATCCAATCTCAGTTTCATCTGATCGAAAATAAGAATGATATGTATACTCTCTGTTCTTGCTATATCACAGAGTTGCTTTGAGAATGTAAAGCTCTTTGAAAACTACAAATTGACCGGGCTCGGTGGCTCAGCCTGTCATCCCAACACTTTGGGAGGCCAAGGCGAGCGGATTGCCTGAGCCTGCAAGTTCGAGACCCATCCAGGCAACTTGGCGAGACCTCGTCTCTACAATGAATCAGAAAAATTAGCCGGGCGTGGTACCGCATGCCTATAGTTTCGGCTACTTGGAAGGCTGAGGCTGAAGGATGG